TCTTATTTCTCCAAATTAAATGGAAAGAGGATCATACGTCCATAGGCTGACCTAGTATCTCTCCCTGGGGGTTCTTCCTCTCCTAGGAGCCCATTAGATTTCCAGACCCCAGCAGGAAGAGCTCTGGTGTTGATTCCATCTGTAGTTATTCTTGCCGCCGTTATTTCCTGCCATCCCCCTGTGACTCTGAAAACTGATGGTCTCTTTGGATGACCACCACTCTCTGACACTGCAGGAGAGATGTGCTCTTGCTGCCCTTAACCTAGCATGCCCCATGCGGTGTTTGAGTATTCATTTCAATCCAGGTTGCCTCTGCTTGGAGTTGAAAACTTATAGTTCTTAGTTCCCAGTGACTTGACTCCCCCATATCATTTTTTGTTTGTTTTGGAAGGACTCCAGCCCCCCAAAATCCTGGGATAAGGTTGGTATGCTGCCTGCACAGTAGGGCCTATAACCGCATCTATTTTTTGTCAACCCTGAGAAGTTCACTCAGCTATCAGAGGTCTTTCCTGTTTAGCCTTCAAAGTACATGTGACTTCCTCAGGTGACTCATCCTCCACTGGTATTTGTTTCACAAGGGAATTGAAAAGCAAAGCATAGATGGAATCATTATTGTGGCGTCTATCTAAGCAAATAAAAATCACCCAATATCATCCATCTCACTGAGGGATAACTGCCATCAAAGATGCCGAGAGAGACCACAACAGGGTGTGCTGTCCTTCGTGGAGCCCGTGAGACCAATCCCTCTCAGAGCTGTGCTGCGTACGACAGCCTCCATTGCTCTGACAACTACTTAAGTGTAATTATTCCCTTTTAGTCTATTTTTTATGCACATTTTAAAATCTGTATAACTTGGTGACAGGACATTTTTATACAAGTGCCTTGGGTTCAGAAATCCAAGACAGGCACAGTCACATGGCCCTCGTTGGCACATCTCTTTCTATGTGGAACTTAGATTCTGCCAGGGAAAAGTTGAGCAGCCTTTTTATACAGAACTTACATGGGAACAGAGGGACTTCCTCCAAGGAAACCAATGGCTTAAGATATTTTTTTTTCCTTTTTAGTTGAAAAGTTATTAAAGCTTATAGGATGGCCTAGGGGGAGGCTGACAAAGTTCAGGTGTCAATAAAGTGCACAGAAAGGCTGATAAAGACTACATCGAGAGGGTGTGACTGAGTTAAACTAGTGGATATGAAAAGATATCAGGGGAAGATTGGTTCTGGTATACAAGGAGCTTGATTCAGGCCCTTTGGAACCCTATCATTTTGGAATGGAAGTGGGTGTTTGAGTGAATCCACAGAGTTGCAACTTTGGGAGTTGAAGCCAGATTTGACATAGGTATCCTCTCTCATGGCTAGTAACTCCTTTTCCTGGGCCAAAGTCTGAGTTGGAAGTTATGGCAAAGACCAGAGTAGGTGTCTCAGTTACAGCCCGTCTCTGGTGGGTGGCCTTTGCTCACTGCTCTCCATACTGGTGAGCAAGGATGCCAGGGACACCCAGTGTGTGGTCCACTCAGGGGGCACCTTCAGGTTGCATCAGGTGTTACCACAAAATCTCCAGCATTGGAGACAAAATATCAATTCAGAAGGAGGTTCTGGAACAACCGGCATCAAGAGAACACTCATTATAGAGACGCCCAGCCTAAGCGGAAACATTTTCTGTTGGATCTAGGAGCAAGATAAGAGCATACAACGTGATCCTTTGGGGAGAATAAGCACCATGAGAATAATTGGACAGACTGGGAGAAGAATTCAAAAATAGACCAGGAGACTTGGGGTTGTACTTGCAGAGCCGTGTTGTTCGTATCCCAAGCTGGGGAAGAAGATGGTATCAATTACATATTCAAACTCCTTAGTCATATGCAAAACTTTATACTGAGGGTAGGTCTCAAGTCATTAAAGGTTTTTCAGAATCATGAGTTTGAGTGACTTCATAATAGTCCATTCTATGGTTGTGAGGAGATACATTTTCTAATGTGCTCAATATGCAACAAATGAGAAAAATAGCCTCATCTTAGAATCTAGTTCCAAAGGTATGACTTCACTGTACAGAGTGAACAGAACACAAGCCCCAAAGTCAGAGACCTGTGTTCAAACCCTGGTTGTCTTCTTTATGATTGTATGATTTTGCACAAAATATTTACACTTTCAAATTGTTCAAATTATTTAAACTTTCTGAGTCTCAATTTCTTCATCTGTACAACAGGATTAATCATACCTGCTTTGCAGTATAGCTATGAAGATGAAATAAGATAGTACTTATTAATCTAAATAACAGTAGATCACCAACACAAGGTAGCTAATTGTAATGTTTTCTATGTGGGCAAATTAATTCTTCAACTTCTCATTTCAGCAGGGTTTAAATTTATACCATTAATGTAGCAGTTAAATAAGGCACACACTTTTTGATGATTTTTAAAAGCACTTCCTGTTTTTAAAAAATGCCCAAAGGAAAACCAACCGAAAACAAACCTCTCCTGTGATACCATTTCTTTTCAAATATCATGGCACAATTGTTGGTTTGCAACATTGCATTGGCTTAAAAATTAAATAGAAGTGCAACATGTTAAAGCAAATATGCTAAGTAAACAAATTGCTTTTGTTTACTCAGAAGTATGTGTGGATAATAGCACAATGGAAAATTTTACAAGGCAACACTTATTTTCATAACATTTCTTTTTAAAAATGTAGGTTCAAGTTTACACAAAGTATTTATTTTAAGCTAGATTTCCAAATTTGGAAGCAGAGAAAATCAAAACAGTTATTTGAAAAACAAACCTTAGAATAAGGGTATTCATGGTTCTTCGAATTAGAATGGCTCTTAGATTGGCATCTCTGAGCTAGTTCATGGCATGAAGAGAGCTTGTCTTTTGTCTAGGTGGGTTTTTTTTTTCTTAAAGGACAAGTGAATTTAGCACTTGAAATACTGAACAGTGTATTTTTATTGGAATATATTAGTATTTGTTTCAAAACTTCACTTGATACATTTTTAAGATTATTATAAAATTATATATGTTCATGGTAGAAAATCTGGAAAATGTAGATAAATGAAAAGAAATTAACCCCCCCCCCCATAATCCCATCAGTCAGAGATAATTACTGGATATATTTGAGTCTTAAAAAAATACATTTATACCTATCTTAGTTTGGGCTGCTATAACAACTACCATTCCTTAAGTGAAGTAGTCATATTTTAAATTACAAGGAACTGAAAATTAATTCAACTTGGAAGTTCAAATGGTAGATCAAATTCATGACTCATGCTATTTAAAAAAGGGCTTGCTCAAATTCCAAACTCCATAAACATACATTATCTCACATTATTCCTGCACCTTTCATCTGAAGATCAGGTAGGATTAAAAAAGAGTGAATGTGAATTTTATGATTCATCATCTGAGTCCTAGAATGGTGAGTGGAAAGAGCCTTTAAAATTCTAGTCCGACAATCTAGTCAGTTCACAGAGGAAGAGGCTAAATCTTGGCAAAACAACTTGGGGTAATGGGAAACCTTTAGACTTTAGAGTTAGGACCTGGGTTCAAATCCTGCATCTGTCACTTATCAAAGGTAAATAAGAAAATGTACTCAATCTTTTGGAGCTTTCATTTTGCCATCTCTCCAACATGGTTAATATTAACTGGTTCACTAGACTCATGTGAAGTCAGTTCCTTTTCTGCCCTTTAATGACTTACTGGGGTCGCTTAACTAGTTAATTACAGCATATTAGAGCCCTTATCCCCTGATTATTCATCAGATGTTCTGTTCAGTGTATCCTGGCTCCTTTTCTAGTTAAGGATTTTGAAGCATGACATATTAAGGTACTTCATTTTAATTAAAAATTGACTAGGATAAAACAGATGTGACAAATACTCTTGTTTGGTTGACCCAATCTTCTCTGTCAATACTTTCCAGCTAAAGACCGCCAGGAACACACCTGTGATGGAACAAGTTGGTTTTGTTACTGATTACAAAGAAGGAGACCACACACATGGGACATGTGGACATTTCCATAGAAGGTGTCTGAAAGGATTATTATAGGATCTGGACTCAGGTGATTTTGAGGGAGGGTTTAAAGAAGTGGCTTTGCTCTGGATTGGTTGTTTTCAAGAATTGGGGGTAATTCTATGATTGGATATTTTAAAAACCTTATGTATAAGATGGAAAAAATAAAGTGAGGCTAAAGCTATAGTTGGGAAAGGAGCAACAGGTCTTCATATTAGCCAGGATATGGAGATACGTGAAATTTCTGTGGTTTGCACAATGACCTTGTTTCTGTGCTTAAAGAAGATCGTGGAGTTGCCTTATTTTTCTTACTTCATCATGGACACTGGTGGGGATTTGGAAGGCTGCTTATAAGTAGCAGGAGAACACCAAGGCCTCCCGGGAGTGCTGCACTAGCTCCTAACAGCGTTGATGCCTAGCTTTAAGTGTGGACAGTTTCTCAGCATCAAAGGCTGCTTGCTGTTCCTTTTCTCTCCTATCTCTGCTCTCTTGCCACGCTTAGACCAGCAGGGACTTTGGGACAAAATTCTATGAAACACAAACAAGCATCTTCTGGGATATTCCTGACAAAACATTTATTTTCAGATGTTGGCACCACCCTTCTCACTATCTCATCCTTTTTCCCAGTGGAGAGGGGATATAACTGTGGAAGCTGCAGTAGCCTCTTTGAAATTATGAAGGAAGGGTCAAAGAAATCTCAGTCCTTGGCATGATGGATTTGCTGAACCAGCCCAGCACTGGTCACTCTGGTTTCTCACTATGGGAACAAAAAATATTTCCTAATTAAAAAAAAAGTCCACTCTAGTTAGAGTGTTTACCTGTAGCTGAAAGCATTCCTAAAATGTTAGGTATTCATGTTCATTATTTACTAAATTAGACACTCTTCTGACAGCCAGGTTTTTTATGGTGACTCAGTATTGTGCATATGGAAATAAAGTATGGCAATACCCTATTTTTTTAAAAAATTAGGCTTATGTTAGGTGGATAAATTATTGTTCTTTCTGCTTCATAAGGTTGGCCATTATTACTTCATTCAGATGCAGTTGCTTCCTTGGTTTCAGAAACCTGCATAAAAATGAAAGCTTTTTAGAAACCTTCCTGATTAAATTCAGCAGAAGGAAGGGTGGACACATTTTTGTAGACTTGATTATTGAAAGGGTAACTACAGCTGTAAACCTAATTGCTGGATAATTGTGACTTCACCATTGCAATTTCTGTGCTCAAAACAAAAAAATGGGTCCCTATAGCCATTGGGATGTGTGAAACGTAATATATTGGTTGATTTTAATGCTTATTGACTCAGAGGTAGACAGCACCCCTGACCTCTTGGGGGATAATTTCCTGGTTCCTGTGTACCCTGTGGCTAGCAGGTTAGGTTCCCATACAGGATCAATGCCCACGACAAAACTGATAATGTGTTGGGAGGTGAAGATGAGGATGATAGCTAATTACTATCATTCAGTGTGCAAAAAAAGCTAAACCACAAGGCCAGCAGGAATCCAATGTTGGCTAGATTCTGGATGAGAGTTCTTAATAAATGATAAGTGACAATGTTCAGGAAAACTTCATGTGTTGACAGCTAGGATTTATTTATTGAAAATTATGTTCCTATGGTCAGAATCAATGTTTACTCTATTCCCTGACTTGTAATTATTCTACAGGTGTTTCTTTTCTTATCTCTTCCTTCACCTTACACATAGTAGGTGCAAAATAGTGGTTGTTCATGAAATGGTTGAAAACATATTAAAGTTTGACTCTGCAGAATGGCTCTGCAATTGCGACAGTAAGGATTTATCAAAATATTCTCTTTAAACAATAAATTATTTAACAGATCACAATTCATATGTTACAGATGTGTCACTGAGTAAAACATTAACGTTCACTGTGGTGAGCACAGAATATCCAGATGCGGGGAAATTTAATAATTGATGAGGGAGATTCTTGTCCACTCAATTAAATAGAATGTGATTCTTGCATGGAGTGGTTGACTGTACTAGGAAAGTATGTCAATGCATAAAACAGACCAGCGTCTCTCTTTTCCTAGAAAACCTTAACAATAAATTGCACCAAAATAGTTTCACAACATGTTTAATGTTCTACACTTGAAATGTTTATAAAAAGACTATTTTTTTCCCCTCCAGTTCTTAGGCAGATGGACTAAATCTTTTCAAATGAAATTATTCATATAAACTTAATCCGCTGGTGGGTTGTTTGTTGCAGGTATGTGCTGAAAGTATAGGCACAGTACACCTCACAAATTTTTAATAAATTGCAGAAATATACTAAAAGAAGTACATGCAGAACCTTAGCTTTGTAGTAGCTGCATTCAGTCTGATTGTCATCATGTGGGATTCTCTAACTTTCTCTCCATCTCATGTTTCTCCAGGAAGGATGCTCTTTGAAATGGACAGGAGATCCATGCTGGGAAAGATATTGCAAAAGAAGTTTAGAAACTTGTCTGTTTTTCCAATTTGGGTGTTTTTATGGTGCTGTCGCTATTTCTGCAGAATTAAGTTCTGGGGAAATACGTGTTTGGATGAACTTATTTGAAGAGAATGAATGAATGGAAGGAAACCCAGCCTTTATTTAACAGTAAATTTACTAAGGTACTTCTCTCTGAATCTGTTAGAAGCCAGGAAAAGGGGCAGTTGCAAGTCAGTGAAGTAAGCGCCAAGTTGGATGTATAAACTCTGCAGTGAGACGTAGAGGAGGGAGTCTACAAGGAGCGACCCTATTTTCTGGAGTGATATTTGAGATATTCTTCTTTTGAAGGGAGACGTAGGAGTTTTCTAGGTGAACAAGTTGTAGGGAGGGCAGAACAGTTTCATACTGTGGCCAGAGATGTTCCTAAAATGGGCCATGGAGTACTATGGGATCTTAGAAGATGCTTAATGAGTACATTATATTAGGACTCTTCAGGTGTGTAAGACTTTTTTTCTTCTTCTGGCAGAGAAAAATGTCAAGAGATGATCTGTGGGTTGTTCAGGCAGGTGTTGAATGACACGCTGAAGAGCTTAGACTGTGCCCAGTAGTCACTATACCCTAAGCTTCATTGAAGCAGAAAGTGCGTCTGCCTGTCTGCCTTGCTCAACGCAGCAATCCTGGTGACTGGGAGAGTGCCTGACACACCATCATTGCTTAATGTGTGCTCATTAAGTGAATGAATGAGGAGCCATTAAAGAATTTTGAAAAAAGGAGTGAGCAATTATTTAAATTGGGGAACATCAGGAGAGCAGTGAGAACCTGGAAGAGAAGGGTGTATTTATTTTCTTCAGCTGCTGCAATGAATTACCACAAGCTTAGTGGCTTAAAACTACACACATTTATTGTCTTACAGTTCTTTGTGTTAGAAGTCTAGTCAGTGTGAGTCTCACTGGATTAAAATCAAGGTGTTGGCAGGGCTTTTTTCCCTTCTGGAAGTTTCTGAGGAGAATCAATTTCCTCGTTGTTCCCAGCTTCTGGAGGCCGCCTGTGTCCAGAGAGGTTGTCCATTTTTTAGGGCTCGTGGGATTATATTGAGCCTACTTGGTTAGTCCAAGATAATATGCCCCTGTCTGTGTCCCTATCCTTAATCACATCTGTAAAAGTCCCTTTTGCCATGTAAGGTAAGATATTCACAGGTGCTGGGGAATAGTCAGTCTACCACAGAGGCATGGAGGTACTTCACAGTACTCCGTGTGCAGCGGTTCTCAACCTTCCTAATGCCGCGACCCCTTAATACAGTTCCTCATGGTGTGGTGACCCCCAACCATAAAATTATTTTCGTTGTTACTCTATAACTGTAATTTTGCTACTGTTATGAATCGTAATGTCAATATCTTTTTGTTGTCCGATGGTCTTATGCGACCCCTATGAAAGGGTCATTTGACCTCCAGAGGGGTCGCGACCAACAGGTTGAGAACCGCTGCCATATGAAACTAGTAAGGAAGGTGATTGTGACAGGGGTAAATCTCGTTCACTAAATTGTTTTTGCTCTTCCTTTTTGGCAGAAAGGTAGGCTACGTTTTATACCTCCCTTTCACTTAGTTGTGATCAATATGACTAAGTTCTGGCCAATAGAAGTTCTGTATGCAGCCTCCAGGCTTGGCCCAGAAAACACCTTCCACTCCATCCTTCCTGCTCCTTTTTTCTCACCTGCCCGCTGGATGTGGAGGGATCCAGCAGGTGTAGCCTGAGGCCCTGAGGGATGGTGGGGTCTCTAGGTAGAAGCAGCTGGGTTTCTTTGTGGAGCTAAGACCCCCTACCAAAGCCCATTGTGCCATGATTTGCATAAGAAATAAACCTTTATGGTGTTAGCCTCTGAAATCTGAGAACTGTTTGCTGCAGGAGATAACCTATCCTGATTAATATTGAAATTTGTACCTAGCAGTGGGGTGTTGTTGAAATAACAAAAACAAATATGGCATTGACTTATTGTTTATCCAGCAGGCAGTGAGGACCCTAACATTAGGCGCCTGAAAGGTAGTAAACCCAGGTTATGAATGGGAAAACCTTGAATAAGCTGTTGCTGGAATCACTTGGAAGGCAGGATTTCTGCCCCAAATTCTTAGAGTTTTGGAACAGTGATTCCTAACCATGGCTACATAGTAGAATCAGTTGGAGAATTTTAAAAACTGTTCATGCTCAGACCCCACTCCCAGAGATTTTGACTTAATTGCTCTTTGTATGTTTTTTGGGGAAAGAAAGGGGCATTAATATTATTTTAACAGTTTTCCAGGTAGTTCTAATGTACAGCTAGGCTTGAGAACCAAAGCTGTAGGGCAGAGGTCATCACACTTTTTCTGTGATGGGACAAATAGTAAATATTTTGGTCTTTGGGAGCAATACCATCACTATTGCAAGTGTTCGATTCCGCTATTATAGCATGAAAGCAGCCATGACAATTTGTAAGCAAATAGATATGGCTGTGTTCCAATAAAACTTGATTTACAAAACAGGCAAGCAGCTGGATATTATCTGTGGGCCATAGTTAACTGATCCCTTCCCTAGGACAGGGATTTTAAAACTTTTTCTTCTCAGGACCCCTTTACCCTTTTAAAAACTCTCCAGTATCACAAAAAGCTTTTGTTTATGGGTTATACTAAGCAAGAATGACCATATTAAAATTAAACTCAGTTAAAAATATTATTGAAAACAATCATAATCAATATGCTGACATAATTAACATATTTTATGATAATTGTATTTCCAAAAAAATTTTAGTAAAAGGAATGGCATTGATTCACATTATTGCAAGATTCCGTGTTGTCTATTCTAATGGAAGACATTTAGATTCTCACTAGCTTTTTCATTCATTCTGTTGTGATACATTGTAGTACATGAAGAAAATCTGACCTCACACAGATGTGTAGGTATTTCTTGTTAGAAGACGAATCTTCTTTTGAAGGAGTATTTGAATAGCCATTTCAGATAATGGTGGATATTCTCTGATACTATATAATAACTCAACAAGTGACAATTTTTTAAAAAGTTGATCGAAGTGTGGAATCTGAAACCCTATCAATGAAGTTTTCACATATTATTACGTTAAAATCCATTGGTTTACTTTCACTTTAAATGGATCTTTTACCTATGCATGATTTTGTAATCTCTTACAGTGTTTCTCTGAAAATAGTGTTTCATTGAGTTATATACCATTGGCACACTTTTTATTATATGATATTTTTTAAAAATCATATTTGTTAATGTCACCACTGAGCTCTTTAGAAAAGCCTTTAAGAATTCAGAAGCTGTCAAGCTCATGGTGGTGGATGCAAATTTTCCAAAATTTTAATTTTCACTTGAAAGCTCACATTTTATCATTGGCAAAAAAAATACTGTCAGGTTGCTCTGCTTTAAGTGACAGTCTCACTTCATTTATTTTCCAAAAAATGACTGCCAAATACCAAAGTCTGAATAATCATATTTTGTTTATCACTTGTTCTCTCAAATAAAAATGGCGTTCCATAAAAAAGAGACGAGTTGAGTTTGCAACTCAGGCAATTGCATATTGCTTTTCCTCCAGACAGCCATTGCATTTTGATATGCAGAGTGCTTTCTGTGTTTTTTTCTTTAGGTCCTACAGAATATATAAAAGACATGTACTCAAGGGTTCAGGTTTAATGAAGTAAATAATATTTACTGTTTCATTAAGGGCATTCTTAAGCCAAACTGACTTAAAAAAAAAAAACCTGTAACTACATGGCAGCAAATGTGATGCAATGTCCAACGATACAGCACAATTACATGGTTTAGTAATATTGCCTTGGTGTGTGTTAAAGCACCAACAGTTTTACCCATCATTGTTTTTGTAGCATTGGTGCAACTTCCAATGCAGTGCAAAAGGCAAATAACTTCTTTGTATTACTATGAAAGTGTGTTTGACCTTTTGGATTCACTAAATGGGTCTTTGGGATTCCCAGGGTTGTGTTGACCACATATGAAGAACCACTGCTTTTGGGGAAGTGTTTTAAAATAATTAGAGTGTTAGCATGTAATAGCTATTATTGGCTTCCTTTGCTAAGGTGAATTAGAGTGTTAGCATGTAATAACTATTATTGGCTTCCTTTGCAAAGGGGTTTCAAAAAAGAGATGCGCTCAGAAAGAACTGGCCAGTTTTCAAGATGAATAAAAAACAATAAGGAGAGTCCAAAGACTTGGGGTGAAAAATGGTTGGAGAGTCAACGGCTTCCAGATCCCACGTGGAGCCTCGAAGGACCAGTAAAACTTCTTAGTTGGACAACCTGATCAGATTAAAGTGTGGCCTTTCAATAAGAAACAATAATCCAATAGATGCCACCTTTTAGCTGCAGTTAAGGAGAGAAAGGGGAAGGAAAGAAAGAGAGGAAAGACCTGAGAATTATAGATGGAATCAAATACCACAACAGAAGCTTACCAAGTTTTTGAAGAACTTGTCAAGAATTCCAAAATATCAGACTAAATATACTTTTGACTGTTTGATCTGCGAAATCACCTTTTGACTTGCAAACTTTTGGTAACATTCACTTCAGCTATGCCCAAAGTGAATAAATAGACAGTAAGAACCCTTAAGAGCTGACGGCCAAAGAAGAAAGGGACAATGGCATTATTCCCAGAGAGCAGAATTAAAGTTTAATCAAATAAATCTCTCCCAGGGTAGGGGACCTCATAAAACTTGTCAAGCAGGATTTCAGAATTGCAGTGAACTAGTGAACACTATTTGTCTGCCATCATTCCCCTTTTTGAATAAAAGTTTTAATTGCATTTAGTCTATCCCTGCTCCCGTTGTCTGTAGACCAAGCCCGGAACAAAACCCCACCCTCTCTCTTTTCTCATGGCATGCTAGATACAAGGGTGTGGTAGAGGACTCCAGGCCACTAGGAGGTGGTGTGGCCCCTGCATGGAAAGAGCCTGGTTACCTGAGTGGAGCAGACCCTGCCCAACAGCTTGCACTGGGTTGTGAC